CATGTTGCCCCTTGCCCCTAATGGTTAGGGTATAGGGTTGGGACCGCCAGTGGGGGTCTGGCTAACACAAAGACCGAGACCTGCCAGTAGCTGTGCCTCCCTTTCTCATCGTCCCCCATCCTTCATCGAGTACCAGCAGAGGCTATGGCCAACACTCTCCCACACACCACACACAACCCACTCGCGCTCACACTCACACCCGTGTTGGTCATAGACCCCGCTAATGCCGATCAGGGGTATCCAGAGGACTATTTATTTTTCTGCACAACATAGTTTTTTTTTCGGGAAATTTTTGGAATCTTTTTTTTTTTCTTTAACGACCTTCCCTGCCATTGCCCTGCCGGACAGGCAGGGGCAACCAAGGTGGTGACCCGGGCAGCCCGGTTGGTAACGAAGAATTTGAAAGAATTTTGAACTTAATAAACTTTAATTAAAATAAAATTGTGCCTACCTCGCTTTCAATAGCTCGGCCAACCCCTTCTCTCGTGCTACTTGGAATTCCTTCAACTGTTCCTCTGAGAGAGTGCCGTCTGCAGCAACTGCCGCCGTCAACTCCCCAATCTGCAAAAAAAAAAAAAAGAGGAAAAAGCGTACAATTCAAAATTCCAACTTGAGAATAAAGAGATTTTTTTTGGGGGGGGGGAGGGGGGGGGGGGGGGAGGATATAAAGAGAAATGAAATTGTACCTGTCTGATGGTTCCAATCATTTCAGTGATAAGACGCCTAGAACTACAGATAGACAGGTTAATAGTACTTAATACGAACTTAATATCCAAGAAAAGAAAAGAACAGAAAAAAAATAATTTAAAAATCATAGGCGTCCAATTTTCGATAGCATTACTGTTAGTGCAACTCAGTGGCAAATCCCATCCAAAAACTGGAAAAACAGGTGACGTATGGCGTTGTGACATTTCAGGCATGATAGCGTAAGATATATCCCGCTCAAAACAACAACCAAAAAAACATGAAAAAAAAGGGGGAAAAAAAATGAAAAAAACTTAAAAAAAGAGTCAGAAACACAAATTTGTTCCAGCGCCTCTTAACCAGAAAAACAAAATGATGGAAGCGACTTCCATCATCAACCCTCTGACGTGCACAAACGTCCTGGCCGCTCTATGTCGGATTTCCCTTTTTTTTTCTTTTTTTCTTTTTTCTCCTATGTCGGATTTCAAAAACATTCAATTATAAATATGCACTCAGACGCTTCAGACATCAATACGGAGTAACAGCTGGATTCTGGAAGACGACGTATCAGACCATAATGCTGGCTTGTATACATTGTGACACTCCCACACACACCCACACTCACGCACACATGTTTAGGGGGGGGCTGTTGGGTGCAGTCGCAAAAAACTGCATTCATTTGAGCGTGCAAATTTTCTCTTGGGAAAGGCAGGCTGGGACACTAGACCTCTCGTCACCCCACCTTTTTCCTTTGACGGCCTACATTTACGGGTTTGCCACGCAGAGTGCACATGCACAGATGCATGAGCGCCTACATGCACAGATGCGTGTGCAGCGC